CGGTGTTAAAAGGTGAGGTCTTTATCTTTTATAGCCTTCCTGAGCCTGATATGCAACTGCAGCCCATAACCTTCTCGAATTCATTTCATATCAATGCTGGGACACATACTAGAACTGGGAGCAGTGTATTACCTTTTGCCTTTAAAACGTATACATGCATCCTCGAAAAACCAACAGAACAAGGGAGGACCGCCAGTACATGCCACGTTCTGCAGTGCCAGCAGGATGCAAATCATTCATCGCATTGCAGACCCATTTTACTAATGCAGTCTCAGCTCAAACCTGCTTCTTGGAGCGGAAATGTAAGAAACTAAGGATTTCCTACCACCACCATTGCCAGAAGGAACATATCACACTGAAGCCAAGAAAAGCCCTTTGAAGATGTCTTTTGCTGTAATTTTGCTGTAATTTTGCCAGCACGCTAATTATCCACAAAATTGAGAAAATCAATATCCTTTCTGCTTAAATGGAAACTACTTTTTTTTTTTAAGACAGTTGCTACTGCTTCTTCAAATGAACTTACACAGGAGCTACTAGACTCTGTTTTCTTCCTTTGGTGAAAATAGTAACAGCAAGCAGAGCTATGACAAGGAGTTCTGTGAGATAGAAAGATACTATCTGAAAGTAAACTCTTGCACACATACAAGAATTTTGCCCTAAACTTCAATGACAAGGTTTCATCTTAAGAGAACTATGCATAGAAACAGTTATCTTATTCAGTTCATAAGTCTTACAGTAATTATAAATTCCAGTTTAAACTGGAAAGAAAAATTTATTTAGTCAGTCATTTACTCCATGTTTATTAAAAACATTATTCCAAGGCTGAAGAATTTTCAGTGGTGTTTACTATACATATTATATATGTATATAATATAATAAGTATAAAGTAGGCTATATTAATTTTGGTCACCACTTTTCTTTTGTAAATGGAAATCATCTGTTGTATTTTTTTTTTTCCAAGTGCTAGAAAAATGTCTCTTATTTGAGTTAAAGAAAAGCTCATGCATTTTATTTATGGTTAAACAGTACCACTATTTCCTAAAGGTAATTTTATGCATATACTTCAATTTTAGAAGTTTCTGACAAATAGTCAATTGGAAATATCTGAATCCATTATAGTGTGTTCATACTTGTCTAATACCCTATTAATTCAGAAATAACTGACTGTAATCCCCAAGAAGGGAGAGTGCTGAATTTTCTTTTGTTTTACCTGAACTCTCCTTACAATTATAAAGGTAAACTTACTAGCTCAAAGAGATTTTGATTGCCATCTGCCAGTACTGTGATGCCTAATAATCAACTTATTACCTGCCACAGCCAGCCTTAGATTCTTCTTGGAAACATTAAATATTTTCATTTTATTGCCTCCACCTGTAACTTCTATATAAATCACTCTGCATCCTCTCTAACCTACTTTGGGATGCTATGCAGCACACTATACATCAGATTTTAGCTCAGTACTTGGGCTGTGTGTATATAATTTTTCAACTGCTTCAGTTGGTTTATGCAGACGTAGACTGGGTCCAGTTGCAAACATTCACATCTGAAGTGAAGAAGATTCTTGGTCTTGCTGTACGTGTTTGTTCTGTCTCATACTTTCTGCCTGAGCTGTTACAACTACATTTTACAGGGTCCTCTTCTAGCAAAGTTTCCATTGATATGTTATTATTATATGGCCATTTATATAGACCCAACTGTGTTATTTCCATTTTATTGCAAGGACATAAAAGCTGGAAATCTACCAAACGTAGAAAAAGGAGCCTAAGAACCTTTGAAAACAAATGCCTTAGGGAAATACTGGGTATTAAATGAAGTTGATTTATAGCTGCTGCCAAAATTTGTCAAAGCCTAAGCACTCCTTACATCCAAAGTTATCCAGAAAAGAAAGTAGAAATACTTAGATTAGCGATACCAGCCATATCACTGTTAGATATACTAGTTGGTTGTTGCCAGCATACATGCTGGCATGATGAATGAAATAGTCCCAACTAGAATGGCCCCATCCATCCCCACCTCAAACAATTCTTACAGAGGAAAAACTAATGGGAAATAGAAACATGGAGGTTGTGTGAACAGAAAGCAATTGTAATATAACACAGAATAAGATCTGTACTTAGGAGGGGTTCAGATTTGTAATACAGCTTGCAATATCAGAATCAACATGTAGGAAGAGGAGAATATGAAAACTAGTCTTCATTCCCTGAATAGTTTTTTCTCATACATTCTAGTGAATTCTGTATCTTCTTGTACCCTAAGGCTTGGCTAAGTTGCAATTATGGAGGTGAGAGCAGTTGAACTGTAGTAACAAGTCACATGCAAAGCCTTTGTCCACCTCAGTTGCAAGACAATGTCATTTAGATTCTAGTAATTCATGTGATCTTGCAGTCACAGAAGGGTTAGAGCAACTGGATGGAGAGTTACCCACAGCAGACTAGCGTAGTAGACATGTCAGAACATGTAACTGAATTACGCCTCAGACTTCCAACCAGCATATTGGTTATTTAGGAGAAAAAAAAAAAACACAAAAAAACCCCAGAAATCTGCTGTTAATCACTGAATCACTTCCCCCAACATTTTTAAACATCTTTCCCAGCCACTTCTATGGTTCATACTTCTCACGGTCATTATTGCCTTCCTTTCTGCTTAGCCAGCTACTCTTTCATTTATAGTTTGGAAATTCACTTCCATAGGTATATAATTAGAAGACTTTGGTTGCCTATTTAAGGCAAGGAATGAACTCTTGCTCCTTTTAATGTTTGTCCTTCTGAAAGCATCCTCCACATGTCTCAAGCCTCTGGGCAATGCTTTAATGCATGTAAATTAAGAAAAACAAATGATAGAGATAAGCATCACATAGGCCATATTAATAAAACAGAGCCCAATGATTTCAAGTTGGAGGCAATCTCAACACTTCTCAGAATAAGAGAGTTTTCTCACAGGTAAGGCGACAAATAGTGTTTGGGAAATTACCTGTCCTTTCAGAGAGCTGGGTTTAGCTTTCATTCTATGTTATGCAATGTAGCATGTTATTCATGCTACACACTAAATGTCTGGGACAGAGTCAGCAGCAGACTTGGGACTTGCTGGTAATTGAAAACAGGTTCTGAAGCAATGATTATCACACAGTAAAACTACAGTACTCCACGTGCTGCACAGAGCCAGCCAGTAACCCTAGCCATTTTCTTTTCATCTGACAGAACAGGCATTTGAATTTTTTTTGGCAGTTGAGCAGTAAATGCACTGTGAACTTCATTTTCAAGCTGTGTTGATATCTACTGGATTTACTAATCATCGAATATCGATTCTGCACTAAAACAAGACACATGGTTGCAAGTTCCAAAACAGTAAGTCAAAAGACTATTGCACATTATGTGATTGTAAGCTAGCTAAAAATATTCCATCTACTTTGGCCTAGTGTCAAGTTCTCAGAGGTCTGATTTGCTGTTTCTGAGAAAAAGGTTTCAGTCTGAATTGTATACCTGGATTTTGCAAAGCATCACAGCAAGTTCCTCAAATTCCTATCCAAATTCACTAACATGCATTTTCACTTAAACACTCCTGAGGATCTCCTTTAAGCATAATTTATATCTTGAGCTAAAGCAAGAGAAATAACCACAGTTTCTTGGATTTGTAAGGAAGCTACAGGTGAAAGTCTAGTTAGGACATTTAGGAATTTGCACAGACCTTACTGTGAGAACCAAGTCAAGACACCCTCTAAAGATCCAGTTTCTCCTTCCAGAGTAGAATTACAATTCAGGTAAGATAACCAAAACTTATGGCAGTGAATGTCTGGAGACTGAGCTACCAGATATTTCCTCTCTCATCCTGAGCAAGTCACATAAAGCAGAACTCTGCTCCCACCTTTGCAAAAATGGTGTTGTAGGATCCCAGTGCACTGTCTCTGTTAATTTTAACTGCTGACCTACCCAGTAAAAATGTCCTTTTCCCTGTCAGCTCTGCAGATTTTGCTGAATGTTTGCCATTCCTTTTTATTGCTACTGTTAGTCAGTATTTCAAAAGCCAAACAAGGCCATAATTTACCCCTTTACAATGTTATTAGCACCCATGGCTGGCATGGACAGATGGAAATTAGAAAACAGTTGCATGGATGATACAGAAAGCCTGAACTCGCTTTCAGATCGCTGCCTTGGCTTTGCAGGGTGAGCAGGATTAAAGGGTAGTAAGAATTGATTTTCTCGTAGAAGACAAGTATAGCTATCTACACAGTGATCAGGTTTCTGGAGCAAGGGAACATAATTTGCAGAATTACTTGATTTTTCAGGCCAGGACTGCACCTGATGTACGTCTGTACCTTTTTTGTCTTTGTCTAGTGAACAAAGAGGGTTGCAGCTGAAAGTTGGAAATTTACTGTGTGAGACCCATTCAGAGGCAACTATTAAACTGATCTTTTGGTATGTCAATTGAATTTTATAATAATTTAATTGGGGGAGGTTTTCATACTTGAGATCCTAAAATTATGACAATGTGAATGTAAAATGCATTTCATATTACTGCAATTGATAAACCTGTCAGTTTTATAATCACTTGGCAACCAAAGTTCTTCCTCAGATATTAGCATCACACAACCAGCTGCACAAGGCTTCTAAAATAACAGCTTTTCAGCCACTCTTAATAGTTCAGCAAAGATGCAGTATGTTATATTACTAGCCTTTGAACTTTTTTAATACACTTCAGTGTCTACTCTAAATTTTAGGTGTCTTTGAAGCCATCATTTAGGTAGTGGCCTACTGTTGATGAAATGTGAATTGACTTTTTCAGGCTTCCCATTAGTCTGTAGCTTTCTCTGCTTGTCGGTCTTAAATGATTAGTTTTGCTGGAGGCAAATGCAAAGGTTTGCAAAATTGGATCATCTTGTAAACTTTTTGTTAGCTGTTTTGAATTTTGTGATGCTAAGAAAATGTGTTCAACTCCTCGGTGGTTTTATTTAGTCATTGTTCTAGGTACAAAACCAAACAATTGTCAATGACTTCTGTTGCAGAGACTTGTCAATCTGAGATCGAAAGAGTTCAGTGAAACATAGAAAAGCATAATTTCAGACTTTAAAAACAGCCTAGGTGAGTCACATGATTTTACAGTCAACTTTTTGCTATTTTAAAAAGTTTTTCAGATTTTTTGTTTGTATGCTCTTTTTCACAGAAAAAAAAAAGGGGGCGGGGGGAAGAAAGAAGGAAAGTTGGAACTGAAATTTTTTGAGAAAAGAAAAAGTTTTAAATAAGCAAAGTCAATGATCTAAAAAATAAATTCACATTGTCTTGGCTGCAAAAATGTCTTTAAAACCCTCTGATGTTATTGAAATGCTAATGGATAAAAAAGTTTCACAGGAAAGTATAATTTTTTCATCTTGACAGTAGCTATGCAAGTTAAATAAGATTGGACATGCACCTGTTTCCACAATTTACACTGACAGAAGGCAGTGGAATAGTTGTTAATTTCTTCTTTTTTTCTGCACTTTGGGGAACAGGGAACCAAAAGGACCCTGCAGAAATTACAAACTAGAAATTGTTTAAGATTTAACAATCTTGAAAAGTTCCATTCCTTAAGTGCTGAAGTTTCCCAAAAGCTCTGAAAAATAGCTTCATTTGATGGTTCCTTGGCACAGAGACAGACCTGGGACTTTGATGTGCGAAAAAAGGTACAGTTTGCCACACGCACACTCTAATGAAAATAGTTCACTGGGAACAGGTCAGTCCAAGCTGAACTCTCATTTTAGTTGGTTTAGCTGTGCATCACTTGAATGCGCACAAGATCTTACGCTTTTCTGCTGCATTAGCATAGTACTGTGTCTCCTATAAAACTTAGACATTTGTGGGATAACCATTCAATAAAATAGAGTCTTTTATAACTTCCATTCAGTTTCATGGAAAGAACTTCCCCCTTTCCCCCTGCTCCTCTGCTCTCAGCAGAAACTGAAGTTACAAAAGCAGGCATAAGAGTAAATGTATCACTTTAAGTTCCAGATGTATTAATAGTTTCAAGGGATAACCACAATGCTATTAGAAGAACTACTAGGTTTATTTTTACTTCTGGCATTGGTATAGGGTTTTAAGTGAGGGTAGCTTTGATTATGCTTTTTAAGCATTTATCAAGGAGTTGGATTGAGGAAGTTGATAAACTGTATTCAGATGATAGTTCTGCCACAGACATCCTGTGTGCTCCTGGGCAAATCACTTAAACTTTTTATGCCCCAGTTCCCAATTTGTAAAACAACAACAACAACACTTCATTATCCAACACTTTATGCATCTTATGAGCTTATATTGCAAGCTTTATGGAGAAAGACTATTTATACAGTGCCTGGCACAATGGGTCCCAGGTTATCTACTGGGGACTCCAGATATCACCATCATACAAAAATGTTTTTGCATATAGAAATTCTTAAAGGCTCTGTCAACTTACAATTCCTAGAGTACTGCCTCAAACACAAGCTTTGGATAAGTCATATCTCCCTTTTGACAGTCACAAATCCTTGTGATATGCATTATTCACTCTAGCACTGTTTCTGATGTACCCAGTTCTCTTGGGAACCACCCCTGAATGTCATATTTACAGACTTACACTAAAGTATATTGAAATAGGTGTCGAGCCTGAGGAGCTAAATGCTGCAGTGGGTTAATGCATTAACCTTTCACATCTGGAGACTTGAGGTGAAACCCCGGTTCTGTTGAAGTCCACAGTAAAGTCACACTAATGTCAGCAGGGCCAGGATCTGATGGTGGAAGTTCAAGCAATGCCACAGTCATGAGTAAAATAATTCTTTAGCATGAGCTATGTCTCCTGTGACTATCCACCGACTTCTCACTGAGCTACTAAAGGCTCTGTGGCACCACAGTGATTTGGCACCACAGCATCTTCCCAAGAGCTGGAATAGGAGAGAGGGCTAGCCACTGTAACCTGAGCACAGAAGTGCCTTGAGAAGCCTGACTGTTACCAATATTTTCAGGCTATATGCAATTGCCTTGCGCAGACATCCCACACACATATATGCCATATCATTTCCACCACACCCAAATGCGAATGTGTTCACTGCCTGAATTAGAGAAGAATTACCACTAGAGAGAACAAAGAAACATATTCCAAACCACTATTGCCTTTCAGGTATTTGATCAAGAGCTTTAATATTCTTCTGTTCTTGTTAAATTTGTCCTAAACTGCCCTACATTTAGCTTAGAAAATAGTGTGCATCACACATCTAACTTTAAAGCTTGAAATAATCTCTAGAGAACATTAGACAGCACACTCAACCTTTTGCATGTAAAGATAAATCATGACACCAATCTGTCCAAGACTGAGAACCTGCTTCAATAACAATGTACTTTCCCTCTGTGACCACTCAGTATGTTTTCCATACAGATTTCTGAGAGGGACCTATCTGAAGAAAATGTACTCTTAGAAATGTGAAGCTCAGGACATCACTTTCAGAAGAAAATAATCTCTCCAATACCTTTCCTGACACTGCAGATATTCATTGACCCAGACAACGTATTTCTTCCTTGTACATGGATAAGGTTAAGTCCAGCATAGTGGGAAATGATCCCTCTGTTCTTCTAAATAAAATTTAGGAAGAAAACTTACCTATATTTGGGATGTTTCTCTGGGAAACTTAAAAGGTCTAAAGGAATTATTGAAAATAAAAGGGTAAAAAAAGTGTGTTTATTTTTATTTAAATATGAATGTAAATGCTTTGCAAAGTGTTTTGCAAATGCTGCTTTGAACAGTCATCATTTTAGTTATTTCAACAATAATTATTGAAAATTGCTTTCTTTCCTACATTCACAATATTAAATTTTTGGCATTTTAAACTGACAACAAGCTAACACATATCACTAGGGCATTCTTCATTGCAAAAGATTCTGTTAGTGTATGTTCTCTAACCATCAATATGCCAAAGGCTTTGACAAAGACTATTTGATGTGTATTAGACATGAACCATCCTTCCTTAAATTCTTCCGGCTAGTGATAATGAGGATAATGAGCACGCACTTTATTAGCATCTCCTCACATCCTTACTTTCATATGAGTGAAAAAGTGACTTAAAGCCCCATCCAGAGCTGTATTCTACACTTCTGGTTCTGAAAGAAGAAAAATTAATAAAAAGCTTGCAGACCCCATTGACCTGTGAAATTCTGGTTCTCTCACAAATGCAACCTTTACATATTACATTTACAAATTGTGCTTTGTACAATTAAGGAGTACAGAAAACTATAAGTTGGGGCACTAGCTTGTATTTCTGAAGAGTATGTGAACTATCGCTGCTATAGAAGTTTCTTTAGGCTTTTCCTTTACCCATAAATGCAGCTAGCGCATATGGAGATACAACTACAAGAAACATGCTGTATTTTGTACTCCATCTTCCCTTTGAAAAGGACAAAAAGAGTTTCCATTCCTACAAGGCTAGCATTCAGTTAATGGTTCAGCGATTTCTTTTACCTATGCTGTATTCTGTGGTAGAGCAACCACTGACAGAAATTAAATATTAGCATATGTTAGCTTTCAGGGATGAAACAGAGGAACAGGAGTTACGGGTAGCAATAAAATGCAGATCGAGTACAAAAAGTGCTGGCATCAGCCCCACACAAGGACAATGATGGCATCTATAGTCAAGTATGTCAGTTGTAATATTCAAAGGAAGCTTCTTAACAGTCATTGTTAATTCCCCTCAGATACTGTTTCTGGAGCTGCACAGACCTGTTTCTCACTTTAAAATTAAGCAGGACATTATTTACTCCTACTTAAAAATAATTTAAATAAATAAGTAAATTAATTAATTAATTAAAAAAAAAAGCATATACCCAGTTACTCAGCAGAGCTTTATCCCAGAGGAATATTAAAAATGTGCAACCTCATGTGTTTACTCGAGCCAAGGAGGTGGTGCCTCCTTTAAGAGTCATACAATTTCTTATATTCATTTGGATGGCAGCATAATTCATTGTGGCAGAGTCACAGGACCAACCAGCAGCAGGAGGATGCTGGATGAAACTGAACATCAACTTGTCTAAAGGTTTTCCTTTTTTTTTGACTGAGCCCCCTACTCAGATTTAAATGATTCAAAATCTGAAGCTTTCACCACTTTCCTTGGGAAAATGTATCACACCATGATGGAAGTGACAGTTATCTAAATATGTCATAAGACATTAGAATATTTAAGAAAAAAACAAAGAACCACAAAAACCACAGAGCTCTTTGTGTAACCAAGTACTTAAACTCTACAAAGGAGAAGCTGAACAGATGGTTTGCAGACTTTGAGTCCCAGAGGTATAACCTGAATCATGTGAAAAAACACATACAGGATGTTAGTAAACCGATTTCTCCTCTTTATTTAAATTCATGCCCTTGTTATATACCCTTAAATTATATTAACAGTTCTTATTTCTCATTGAAGCTTGTGTGTACATTGCCATATCTGTGACACTACAGCTAGAATGTTAGGCACTGTGAAAATAACTCCCCATGTGACAAAGTATACGTAAGAAGATATTGGTCAAATGATTCACAGATCCAGTATGTTCTGTTTACAAAATTCATTTTGGGCATCTTTTATTCATATAGTATGTCTCAAGATGAAAGTAGCATTTTATACTCCTGTGTATTTTATACTCAGACATTTCATCCTCGCCATGAACACAGGAGCCAGTAGGAGGAACTACAGTTTCTTGGATCTAGAGAGATGATTTTGAAAGAACTCTTACTTGAAAATCTTCCTGTTCAGCTGATGAATCACTGCTTAAAACTGTTGGCACTAAACATTGTTACCACTTTAGCTAGAGCCATATGCTGATACGCATACACACACACATACCTATATATACAGGCATATGTACCCATAAAGGAAACTAAAGGAAATCAAGTATTTAATAAAAGCAACGTGTGAATTCATACTTCAGCACTGTAAGTCAAAGAAAAAAAAAAAACACAAAAAACTCCCCCAACAAAACAACTTCACAGACTGATTACCAGAGTGCTTATTTTGAAGAAAACTCCTGAGTTTGTCAGTCTTTGTTTTGATAGCTTTGAGTTAGCCAGACTTGGAAGGAAACTGCTGACCCAAGATGGGAATAGAGACATTGCTGAATATCTCCATGAACAGTAATTGCAACAGACTGGGACACTGAACTTGCACATCGAGTTTACTGACTCCGTTACTGACCTCATATAAGTGATTTCTACAGTCAAACACATTCGTATTTTTAGGAGCTTACACACAACACTGGGAGGATGTGATTTTCACATATGCCAATACAGGGGATAAGGTCTGGACTTCGTTCACTGCTATAGAGATTTAAAGAAAAAAAAGTAGAGAAGCAGCATGGAAACCTGTAAAAATCAAGGTTTTCTCCACATTATAACTTGTACGATATCAGGATATGCTCCTTTTAACATGGTGATATAAATTTGAACTGTTCTGTCAAGGGTTGTTGGTAGAAGTCTGTCCTTGAGAGAAGTTGCCTTGGCTCCTAGTTGGGTTACAGCAGGGGGAACAGGCTTATCTCTGAATGGAGAATCAAGCTTCCCCAAGGTTTCTATTGTTAGCTGAACTCATCATTTTCCAGCACTTCCCACCACAGAGCACGAGGGGTTTTCAAGCCCACATGGCAAAGGACCCTTTGTGAGAACCCTTCACGAAGCCACTAGCAACACTTTAGGTCCCTCAAGGAATGTAGCCTGCAGAGACACGAGAAGAAATCAAGTCCCTATTGCAGGGATACCCAACACACAGGCACCAACTTGCTAACAGTAGCCAGGGCTGAGCTTCCGTGTGGCAATGACATAATTCTTCTACTGTGTGGAAATGCACCACAGGACCTCCAATGCCAGAGCGTTAAAACCTGATTACCATAAAACAAAGTAAATGCTCTAATGTGGACAGCAATTAGTTGTTCAGAACTGATAACAGCAGATTCCTTTCACAGCCGTTTAAAGCCCATCTGTTGAACATTATAGACCAATCACTACATTGTGATTAATATTTATGATAGAGAAAAACTTTTCCAAAAGGTTATATCTCCAACAGAATCTGAACATTTCAAACGTTTTTCTTTCTGAATTCCTGAAGACAGCATCAATAATGAAGGGTCTGGTCCTGCTGCCACTGAAGTCAATAGCCAAAACTCTCCTACATTTCAACAGTGAGAGGATATGAGGCTGTTTGACTCAGCAGAATAAAACCAAAACCAAACAACAGCTGGTAGAAATCAGGCTGAACATAATGATCTTTATACCTGACAGTCAAAAAGGTCATTCTGCCCTTTCTTATTTTATATACAAAATTAGCCAACTAAATTTAAAATGCATTAACTTTTGAACTGTAGAGAAATTAATTGCCATTTTCAGCCATATACATTTTTAAAGAATTTGAAAACATTTTAATATGCAGACTTATTCTTTTCAGTGTCCTAATATTAATCCATGTTGGTAGTGTCAAAGCAAGTACATCTGTGCAAAAGGAAAATTTATTTGTGGACCAAACAAAAATCATTGCCATCTCTCAGTTTAACTACCCCTTATATGTGTTTTTTATGATCCAGGCCCTGTTTTCTGCATGCTGGATAATAACTGTCTGGCTAAACATAACGGGCTAAAAATTTATCAGTGATTTGTTGCTCAGCCTGTTTATTAGTGTTTGGCTATGGGAAGGTGGGTAGGACTCAAAAAATATCTTATTAATTCTTTTCTTGACAGAAGAGTCTGCATAAATCTTAACATCGATGAGGAGAGACCCTACAAATGTGGAAAGAAATTATATGACAGACTAATAGGAAAGCAAGCTGGAAGACAGTGGAGCCCAAAATTCCTGGCAGGAATCGAGACATCTCCTCAGGTCTTTGCTATTCTACAGATGCATCCATTTACTGGAAATAACTTGACAGAATTCTGCCCCATCATTTTGGGAATTATCACATTAAAACCAGGAAACAAAGGGGCGAGAGTGACTCCAACAACAGGCATGGATTTTGGACTCTGCTGACACACCTTTTGCAGCTGCATGATAGGGTTCAGCACTTAAGAGAGTCTTACTGCTAGTTCTTGGATTTTATTTTGTCCTTGCATTGGTTTGTTGATTACTTGTTCAAAAAACAATGGTGGTGGTAATGTTCCTATTCATGTCACCTTTCTTTGAAAGTTTCTGAGAATCAACAGAAGCCAGTCTATTTTTCCGTTGTTTACTGTATCTCATTAATTCCCCAGTCCTATACTGATATGCTTGCCAAAGTTCTCACAGGTTTTGAAATAGCTTCTTAATTTACTGTGGGTTTAAGTACACAAAACTAAACAATTTGGCAAGTACAGTACGCTAACAGATTTTAATAAGTTCAGATATAAGAGCATGTCTATCAATAACACATTTCTGCAGACCAGAGGATGAATTGCATTCTTCTATAACCAGGTTTAGTGATACCATTTAGATACACTGCTTGTAATATAGAAGGAAGCACTTGCTCCTTTCTGGAGTCATTTATTTATGCTCCAATTTAATTGTAATAATTGGTCAGGGAGCATCATCCTCAGCCTTTGGGGCTGCACTCCTGTCTGCAAATGTAGATGCATGAATGTGGATATTCTCCAGAAGATGTGCTAGCACAATAAGACCAGAAAAAAAAACACCTATCATTCTGAAGATTAATATTCTCTTAATAATCACAATGTAGGCTGTGCAGAAGAACCACCGGTTAGATCATGCTAGACTATATAGTAACAATATAATTTTAAAGCAGTCTCTCCATGCACAAAGTGCACGTACATGCTATACATTAGTCATAACTCAGTACACATTACAAAAATGTGGATAACTTAAATTTTGAGGTTTTCTTTGTATCATTTACATGCCTTTAGAGCCACTTAACAGTTAAAACCTGGTTCCTGAAAGTTGCTAGAGGTACAGCTATGTGATCTATGAAGTATAAAAGAAAAAATAATGTAAAATTAAACATGAAATTAAATTGATCTCCTTGTTGACATGAAGCCAGCCAAAAAGGTCTATTATTTTTTACACAACAGTGCTTGTGTTTAACTGGAGAACAGAGTCATGGTACTGTACCCGAACCTTTCCCTGGAAAAAACGTATGTAGTATCATTATTCCTTAAAAAAAGGTGTTAAGGCTTACAATCGGCTTTGGAGTCACATTGAATAACAGTAGAATAGCTAAAAGCAAACCAGACCCTTTGCTGGTTTCACCTGACAGGTCTCACGCTGCTTCCAGAGTCCCAGTACGGCTGTACAGTAGAGCTCTAATAGTTCACGCATTGGGCAGCTCTGCAGCCCAGCAGTCCTGGGTACAGTTCAGGTGAACACAGCTCTCCAGCACAGCGCCTTAAATGAAAAGCACATTTATACTAAATATACTACTTCGGGATGTGACTGGGTTACAATGATAATACTTGAAGGTTATGACAGGTAATGACAAAGTAATAACAATACTTGAAACAGATCGAGAGCATTAAAAAAAAAAAAAGGAAAACCAAAAAAACCCCACCCCAGAATAAAGGAGGAAACACTCAGTTTTTCCTTATCAATGGGACATGTAGGTTTAGAGCAGTTCACTGCACTAGCTGCATGCCCAACCACTCAAAGGTGTCCCATTAGCGGGCTTAGACATATGCCTTCAGAAGAAGCATGAAAGCAACATATCCTTTTCATGTATGATGAAAGAACCTGGTGCTTCTGTCACACTCAGATGTTACCCTGTGCTGGTCTTGCTTGGGATACAGTGCAGCTTCTTCACAGTAGCTGGTATGGTGCTGTGTTTTGGATTTGTGCTGGAAACAGTGTTGATAACACAGGGATGTTTTGATCATTGAAAACAGAGTCAAAGCCTTTTCTTTCTGCTCCTCACACCACCCTGCCAGCGAGTAGGTCAAGGGTGTACAAGAAGCTGGGGGGCAATACAGTCAGGACAGCTGACCCCAACTGACTAAAAGGATTTTCCACACCATATGGCACCATGCTCAGCCTATAAAGCCAGGGGTTTGTCTTTCCAAGTAACCATTACATGTGATGGAGCCCTGCTTTCCTGGAGATGGCTGAACACCTGCCTGCCAATGGAAAGTGAGGAATGAATTCCTTGATTTGCTTCACTTGCGTGTGCAGCTTTTGCTTAAAATAACCTGCCTTTCTCTCAACCCACAAGTTTTCTTACTTTCAGCCTTCTGATTCTCTCCCCCATCCACTGCAGGGAAGTGAGTGAGGGGCTGTGCTTGCAATGGCAACACCATCCAAGGGCTCTGGGAAAGCTCTGTGGCTGCTTATTGGGTTTGTTTTGCTGGAATAGTCTTCTCTCCCAAAGCCCCTTCATTTCAGTTCTGCATCCAAGTTTGTAAAGCAAGACACAGTGAAGTGATTGAGTGTCCGTGAAATTCAGGGAATGGGAAACAGAGACCAAAAATAATTAAGTCAATTTCTTAATAAAGGAGAATGCTGATTCCCCCCCCGCTTTGATTTTTTAGAGTTCAATGCTGAAAAGAAAATGTTCAAAGTGCTTTATTTAAATTAGAATCCCATAACAATCCCTTTGAATATATTCAAAACATGTTTATATTAACATACTAGAAATACACACTGTTATGGAACAAGTTTCAAATACTACAGCCATGATAGATCATGGAAGAAGTTAAATAGCCTTGATTCAATTTTGTGGGTGAGTGCTGTCCTCTAAATATTCTCCGAAGAGACTGAGAAACGAGGAGGTTTGTTTTTTTTCTGAGCTGGAATTTTCATCGCCAACATTTATATACTTAATATTGAGTAAAAACTTAAAAAACTTTTGAACAGACCAAAAATTCATCAAGAAACTTGTGACAGATTCATTCACCCTTCTCACCCAGTAGCATCATTTTGGCTTAATATTTTTTGTTAACTAGGAGCTAAATACTTTCTATGTATTTCTGCAAATATGTCCTACTTCATTACAACTTTATGACTGCAGGTAAGACAGGTATATTGTGCACAATATTGCGCAGGTGTATGGTGCACATCACCGCATGAGATGGTTGCCCATGCAATCAGCAGATAAACTTCCTGTGAAAGCATGTTTTCCATGAACAGGAAAACAGTTTAAGGACATTATGAACACTTTACTTTTCTAAAATATGACAGTCCATCTCCACACCTATACAGAAAATATGAAAAGAAATATCAAAATTATGCATTAGTAACAGGTTATATTTAAACCAGTGTATTTACAATTAAGTATATCGTAAACTAATATGGTTTATGAAATACAATTAGAAGAGCTTTAAGGTTTTATTACTTATTGATTTCCGCAAATTTGACAAAAGATATTTACAGATATGGATGCATATACTACATGTCTATGTCTACTCCTGAGAATGAGCTTTTATGCATGGAGATGTGCATCTTATTATTACAATAAACCAGAAACACTGTGTTGGTGACAATCTACTTCCCTGTCCTTGTGCAATCTGAAAATTATCTAAAATGGGAAAGGTAGTACTTTTGCCCCAGTATCATGACTGCCATGTTCTTGATTTATATAAACATATGACATTCTCAAATGCTCTCCCTTCCATAAAGCTATCCATGGCCAGCTGGGTGATGTTAACTAAGAACTAATCATAAACATCTGCTTAGTGTGCATAAATGTTGCTTTTATTCCAGATTTTCCTAAAAGAAAATATACTGTCAAGCTACATATACATATTTTAGTCATCCTTCTTTTTTTCCCTTTTTTTTTTTCTTTTTTAACCACAAAAATCCATTAATATACTTCGATCTAGAGAGGCACGTATTATTTGATCTGACACAAAGACTAACAAGCATGGTATGCTTGAGTTTTGGTTTCCCTTTTCTAGCACTTAAAGAGGTCAAATACTTCATATCAATCTGCCCAGGTTGACAGCACCTTTTTTGTTGCTGCCAGTCCTCTTGTGGTGTTGCAGTCCATGAGAGGAATGGCTGACCCACTGCCTGTACCCCACACACACTTCTTGGATCCCCTGAAAGTGCTCAGGTGTTTTGAAGAAAGTTTTCAGTGATTTTTGAAACCCAGCTTAGGAGTGAAATCTGATGTAACACGCTATGTTAGATATGAATTCCTGATTTATCTTAATGTATTACACTTCCTTATTGCAAACTAGATGAGGTTCAACCTTGGGCTGCTGTAAATCCTGCAGCTTCACAGCATCTACATCTCCAGCTGCATCAGCCCAGTGATGAACACATAAGAAACACCATATAGGTGTAATTCGTGTGGGGCTTGACTCAATTATCTAACCTGTCATTACTCTAATTTATGGAGAAGGAAGGGTGACTTGTTTCATTTAAATGTGTGTCCTAACTGTACAATGAACTACCTTCTGGAGACATGTCACCCTATAGAAAAGATGCAGTAGTATCCTAAATGTGACATCTCTGTATCAAGTTTGTATAACTGTAGGGTTCCCTAATACTCAAAGATGAAGTCCACAGTGCAGTTCAGATGTAGCTGCAGTGGTGACTATGCACAAGGTGAGCTTTTCCAAAATTGATTCAACTATTTCATACCTCCATTATATATAAATATATAAAATTCACATCAATAAGTTTGTATTAAATGTTTAAGCTTTGATAAACTGGAGATTTTTCTCCTTTGCAACCAAAGTTAAGTATGTGAAAGTGAAATCCAAACCTTCCCATCCCTATTGACTATTCCTGTCTTAGGACATGAAAATGGAGTGGAGTGAGAAACTCCAGGAAGATCCCTTCCAAGCAGCTATCACATCAGCTTTGCTGCCATTCCCCAAAGCAGAGAGTGTTACACAGTATCTTGTATATTTGTTTAAAAATAAAAAAAAATAAAAAGAAAAGAAAATCAACTGTTTTGCTGATGTACAAACCCAAACTGCATTTGCATTATCATCAAAGAACAGGCTGGGCAGAGATTGAGAGAAACGTGACAGTATATTTGCTAAAATTTCACCAAGGTAAACTGTAACTTGGCCATTAATTTAGAGCAGGTGTTGTCTACTAAACCTCTTTCAACACTTCTTGTTGCTGAAAGTGAACCTCAGGTTCTGTGTTCTGCTGTCAGAGTAATCTTTCCACAAGAAGTGCCCAGGAAGGAATAAAGTCTCTGACAGTGACGGATTGGAGGTAAAATGCATTTCATGCAGCTGAGCGGTAGGTTGATAGTTTTGGAGCATGATTAGAGGACACACAGCTGCTTCTCCAGCCTCGTGAGGAAGAGACTGGCCATTTTCCACATGTGCCTGTCTTGTCTTTGCAGGCAGCAGTGTGACAGACTGGGTGTCCTTGGCAGCCCACTGCTCGCTCTCTTTCACAGAGTGACACTTCCTAACTACCTTTCTCCTTGGGAAAGGGGAGTTTCTGCTTCACCCTCCAGACAGTGGTTAGTTTAGCCTCTTGAAAGATGGCTATGGGCTGGTGATTCACAGGTGTTATTCTTACCTACAGAGAAAGAACAGTAATTAAGTTACAGAAATGTCTACATTTTTCCTGATGCAGAAGATTGTTTTCCTTTAGTAGCAAGTAGCACTGAATGTAAAATTTTGATGGGGAGAAAGGGTATAAAATGGAACTTCAGGGCTAGCCAGTATTCTGAATTCGGTAAAGTCTGTTTCTGCACCCCGATGACACACAGTAAAAGCTCAAACCAAAGAGCTATCATGGATATATCACAGGCTTTGCCAGCTTTGGTTTTGGGACTTCTAGAAGAAAGCTTGCTTACAGTACATAAAGGCAACAAATCTCCTACTCCTTTGAAATTTGACAATATCAACTTCCTTTAAAAAGTATAAGCCACAATTTTGAAGTGTTCTGTCTGAATGGTTTAGAAAACTCACCCAACAAGCTTGCTAAAATCATTCTGTTGAGAGGAATTTTATACATGAAACAGCAGAATGTTTCTGACGCATCAGGTATTTTCAGAATGACCATATCTAGTAGAAAATTAAAAAAAAAACCAGAAAACCAAAAACCCAAACCAACAACTTCCAAAGAGGACGTCAAGGGCCAAATACCAATCCCCTGAAAGCACAGCAATTCTCCCACAGATATCAAGAGAACTAGAATTTGGCCCTATATGAAATGTATTTCACACTTCCAACAGCTTGGGAACATTATCTATATCCAGTGAGGCAGTGCTGTGAATACACTTCAGTACCACAGTTTGCATGAAATCATCAGCCAAAATTAACTAACAAGACTGTAAAAGAAAGTGAACATGTGTCCAGCTGCTTACTCTTTCCATTTGAACTTTACTTGGTGCATTCTCTTCAGTCAAATCAATTAATCAAGCACCGTAATTTGAGCTGCAGGAAAATGTATGGGGAGAATTTATACATCGGGTGCCTTCTATCAGAAAGGGCCATTCACGAAATGAGTCTTGCTGAACCCATCTCTGTGTAATTCTTAGAAACCAGGGTGTGCGATGATGATTGAGTAAACATCTGTGACTCAGTGTCTAAAGCATGGTTATGACAGCCTCTGGGAGAAGTGTTACTAACTGCACTGCCTCTAGTATTTTCCTGGCCAAAAGATCACGTGCAGAGTCAAACACCATGGGAAAAATTAATGATTCTCCATGCTTCTGCAGGTTTTCCTTCACAATCCTAGCCCACGGGGGTTTGTACAAGTTATTGTTACAGATTTGTTTACCGGCAGTTTTAAAAGCCCGCATTAGACAGTCCAAGTCCAGAGCTGCAGAAGCAGAACACGAAGCGCATCCAGGTTTCACTGTGTTTATAGGAGGTGCAGGGGTTTGTCACTGTGCCAATAACATCTCCCTGCTCCTGACACAGGCTCAGCACCACTCTGGGGTAAAGCAAACTGTGTATCCTTCTCTGGAGACCGATTACCAGGTCAGGACAGTCAAATCACTTAATCACTCCTGCCCTTTTGCCCTGGCATATGATCTACTGCCCTGGGTGTTTACGGGATAGCATGAGGCTTGCTGTGCTGGCAACATATGCACAGGTACATCTGTGCTGCAAACTAGTTAGAGGAAAAAAACCTCTCGTTTCAAAAGTATCCACAGCAGACACCTTTGTCGTTTCTGCTCAGCTTGTACCACTGAGATAATCTTTCTATGCTCCTGATCCACACACAAGCAAAAAGGGAAACATTAATAAACGGTAAGGAAATATAGGTAAGGACCCTGAAGGGTTCAGAAAGTCTAAGTTTTTACGTTAATGAAAATGTATCTCAAGATGTATTATTAACAAGAATGCTCATTTACAGGCAATAACTGGATTTTTAAAAATAACAGATGTTTTCCTAAAAGGCCATTGTAGGAGGGTGGTGAGGCACTGGAATGGGTTGCCCAGGGAAGATGTGAATGTTCCATCCCTGGCGGTGTTCAAGGCCAGGTTGGACAGAGCCTTGGGTGACATGGTTTAGTGTGAGTTGTCCCTGCCCATGGCAGGGGGGTTGGAACTAGGTGGTCTTAACGTCCTTTCCAACCCTAAATATTCTGATTCTATGCTACACATGCAGGTCAGCATTCTATATACACTAACACCAAAAAAACCCATCTGTGGCTTTGTGTGAGTCACACATGGCAGTGACAGCCTCTGCAGTGCTGTCATACAAGCAGCAGTGAATCCCAAGATTGCTTACAGCTATACTGCTGTGTGACTTGTCAAGCACTGTGCTAATAAACAGAAGTAGT